GCGGAAAAAAAGAAGTAATCATGCGAATCGGCCGCGTCTTTCGCCTATGTGATAGTTCCCGTGAAATCGTCGGTAGAATTTCTTATTAAAATGTCTACTATATATATATATATAATTTTCAGTGTATCAGAAAGATCCGAAAAACAGAAATCCTCCAGTCGGGACTTCCCGGCTGACGATTTATCATTAAGATTCTAATCGTTAAAGAGATACAAAGAAATATCTCAAGACACGATAGAACAGTTTCGAAAATGCCACGAATTCGAATACAATCAGGCCTTCGTTAATCGAGTTTCTTTTGGTGTCTCGAACGAATACTTCGAACTCAGTAATTTCGATTCTTAGATTGTCATCAAATTTCATATAACAGGGTAACAGTATCTAATATGGTATGTATTTCGATGGAAAAATAATAACTATTCTATAAAGAAAATAAGTTTGCAGTAAATTTCCTTTGAATAGTGAAAGACAAACATGTCCAATGATAAATCATAAAAAAATTAAACTGTTTCTATCTATATTACGAAATTCGACTATTCAACTCTTTCAGAAAATTTGACGTACTGCAACACCATAATGCTTCGCGTGCGATGACAAACTCTTAATTGATATACATTTATTAACACGAAATGTCGGTTATATTTTACTTATGAACTGTTTGGATTTTTTTAATAAAATATTAACTTATATTCAAGTTTTTGGTAACTTTTATGTACTTTGATATTGTTCCTTTATGGTATCATTGCTTTGTAACGCGTATGTCCCTTAAAGATATTTTCTTACAGAGATTTGCATGTATCATATATAGTACACGTGGCACTAAACATGTTAATATTACTACATCGAAACTCGTCTTTCGGGTGAGAACCGTGTCCGATAGATAATGTTCCCATTTTCCTATATTGTCCTACCGAACACGACTCGCGCGAAAGCCAAGTTTGAATGTAACAATCCAGCTGTGAAAGCATCAAATCTACTATTAATATTATTGTTTCCTACTAATGAAGTGTTTCCCATGACAACCGACACCTCAAGCTACTCATTCCTCGAATTACTGTTTCATATTACACGCCGTTACCTATGTTTCAAAAGATGTGTCCTCAAGTTTCCATTCATTTAGGCTACAATTAGGCCACTGCATTTTGATAATTTCGCGATCCAAAAACAGAAACTCTTGTCTTTGGACTTCGTATTAGCCAGTTGATCGGGGTCGGTAGCAACGGATTGCAGCAATCGGAATCCTCGTTGCACGCGATCCTTCATCGCAGCGAGCAACGATTGCTTCATCGCGACACGTCGAACGGCGCCACGGCCCGTCCAAAGTAGTCCGGGGAACGTTCGAGCGGGTTCGTGAAATCGCGCGACACGCGACTCGCCCGATTTTTCTCTCTCTTTCCTCGGCGTCGGCTTTCTTCTCCTGCGTTTTCCTCTCCGCGCGGCGAAACGGCTTTTCCTCCGCGGAAAGCGAGAGCCATCGATCGCCGCGGGACTCGCTAGAAAGTTGTTCGCCGGTCCGCGAGCGTTTCGATCCACCCGATTACGCTCGCGCGAGCCGGCGCGGCGTTGTTGACTTACTTAACCGGCAACGGGCTACCGAGACCGCGGTTATTTATATTTATGTCGTCGACCAGACCGACGGCTGCACTGTTTCCGCGGTAATTACGCATTCGAGCCACGTCCATGGCTTTCGTTGCGGCCGCGGCTGATCGATCGACGATTCGCGAGCGAGCCTCTGCGCGCGCTGGTCCAAACGGCTCCGAAAAATCAGCTTTCTCGCGTCCACGGAATTTTTATTCCGTGATTTAACACTGAAACTATCGAGCAGTTAGGCTGAATTTCTGGAATTCCTCTGTAGAAACTCTGAAAGTGCATCTATTGAGACTTTCATTGATTTACAATTCAGTTTGCGTACTGCTGAATCAATTTCTTTCACAATTTCTCAGAGAAACGCCTGTTGCCTTTTTGACATTTGGAAAAAGAAGAAACCAGGGCGGTAGTGTCAGTGTTAACTCGAGAGTTTGAAATAAGAAGAGAGAGCTTTAGAATCGCAACGAGGCTGGATAATTGAATTTGTAGATGCGCAAGGTTCCGTTAGAATTGAGATACCCTGACTGCTTCAATTCATATTTTTCGGTTTATTTTGTTTTAAACTAAGAGACTTCCCTTGCGTTAAGAGTGGAATTTATCATTGAAATCGTTAACCATTGATTAAATTTCATTGAATCAAATTTATCTTCCGAGATCTGAATAAATCTGTTCCTATTATGTTGGAGCGAGTTGTAATAATTGTTGATTACTGATGGATCGACGATTTTTTCACATTTCCATTTTCGTGTATGAGTTTTCTGTAAACCGGGACGAAGAAGAACTTCCCTTTGTACATTGGAAGATTTTTTAGCAAAATGGAAACTGTTGGAATTGCTAGTCTACACGCTTCGCTGGATTTTACAGATTTACGCATGTCATGAGTGCATAGTGAAATGCAGCCCATCGACTACGATCCGCGGATACTCGTACCTCATTATCGTGACGGCGTCTCGCGGAGAAAAATAAATTGATGTAATGAGATTACATGTGGTTGAAAAGATTTTTTCCCCGGCGAATGGAAAATAGGAGGCCGGCAAATTATAGTACGTAGGACATGATATTAATTTACAATACAGGGACTCTATAATCTCTGTAAATTAGATCGCGTATGCTTATGTGGATTCATGTTTGTAATAAGCGGGAATTAATTTTCACAGCTGATGGGAAATTCATGATTCCATTAATCCTTCGTGGTTTCACGTTAAGGCGAACTCGGAGGTCGGTTTTGATTTATTTACTGCGTGTTTAGATCAACTGTAACGTAATTCCACGTAATATCATAGTATTAATTGTATACTTAAGGTATTCATTTTATTAATTACAGTATTAAGAAAACGGGATTAGATATAATTTCCTTTGATAGTTCGAATACATACAAACATCATATAAAAGATAATGAAACGCTACGAAACCTTGCATTTTGATCCTCCTCGAGAAACTTTCCAGTAAATGCGTTCCGATTTCAAAGCAAAGATATAAATGAGTGCATCGCAGTCGGTCTTAATTGCGGTATAATACCGTTACACCGTTATAAAAGCTTACTTTCAAAGGAACAGTAATTTTCTTCAAAAAGAACTTGATCCACTTTAAATCATGACGCGTCGCGAAATTTCGAGCGACATCGTTGATTCACGTACGCGCATGAATCATCAGCTAATAAGAGCGAGTGAACCTTATAGATTTTGCAATTACTGTGACTGTAATAGCAACCTTGACACGAAGAAGCGACTGGCCATTTTCCGCTAATCTGATAACGCGATGAGTAAATTTACGAAGAAAATGAGTAACACCGAAATCGAGACTGACGTGGACCCTCGTATCGCGCGACAGTGAATTAACTACGAAAGGTAATTAAGATACGAAAAGATGTATTCACAGTGTAGTGTCCTCTACAATCTTCGACGTCCAAAACTGTTTTCTATCTTAATTCCATTTTTCCAATTATTATAGACATTCTGAAAATCTTCAATTCACAAAAATTTCAAACTTGCCCGAATTATCTCCATAAAGATCCATAAAGGATCGAAAACTGTTTTCCATCTTAATCCTTTCTTTCCGATCGTTGTATCCTGAAAATCTTTAATTCACGGAGACCGCAAACTTGTCCGAATTACCTGAATATTCATAAAGATCTATAAAGGTCTACCGATACGAATAACTATCGATCGGAGTCCCATCGACAGGTGAAATATTTATAAACAAAGGGAGACTGAAGCGCGGCTGATGAAAGGAATAATCGCATGATCGATGATTCGCCGTTTCCTCGAACAGTACCGATAAAAACTGATTATCCACCGATTGCGACAGTGAGTGCAATCTGTGACTAGCACCTGAGAGTCGTCGTTATATGACTCACGTGTGCAATTTGACGCGACGTCACACGTCTCCCCGCTGATCGAGCCGCGGCCGGTGTTTATTACCAGCGCGTCGCGTGACGTTTCCCTCTGTTATCAAGCAACACGTAACAGATATTAAAAATAAACAACGGGGAATCGTAGTACGCGAACGAACACGCGAAAAACACAGAGGTGAAGTTTTCCCGTTCGTGACTTCGTTCCGCGGGAAATCGATGCCGAAGACGGGACGAGAGGCAATGAAGTTGCGTCTCAATCGTTAACCTTCGAACTCTGTTCTCTCGAGAACGAAGCGTTGCATAAAAAATCTGCATGCCAGATTTTCTCTACAGTTTTTCCCGTAGAATCGTCAGCAAACTTTCGTCAACATTTCTGAACATTGGATCAACGAATAATCATTGATTGTTCTTCGAGTGAACAAAGATAGTCGTTTAATACGTTGACTACCACGAGAGTCTTCAACGATTTAAATATTATTTACTTCGTCACGGTGGGGATAAATATAAACAATTATCAATACTAGGTTCATGGAACGTACTGAATCTTTTAGACATCATTCATATCCGAATTATCTATTATTAAACTAATTTCCAAGACCCAAATGAACGAACTTCAATTTTTCTACGAAAATTGTCACGCAAAGGTGTCACGATTTTTGTATCACGAAATATTTTGACGTCAGTCACCATAATATTCTAATTACAGTTTTCAATCAATCTCGATGGACTGGTCATCGACGGCCATACCAACACATTGCATACTGTCAAAGAGAAACCTCGCTTTTATACGAAGACACTTAGCTAAGCAATTTTGCTACTTACCGCGTTTGAAAAAATATTAAATTTGACAACTAATTATCTATTTAAAATACATAGCAATATGATATTTGAATTTCTCTATGTATTGCGATAAGTTGATCTCGCTGAAAATCGGCATCGGCGGAATTTTCCGAAAACTGAGCGGTAGACAATCTGTTAATGATGTAAGGAAGAAAAAGAACAGAACATGCTCCGTCAAAATCGTGGACGAATTGAGGGGGGCTGATTAGGGGACACTCACCGATCGAGGCGAACTTGAATCTCTTGATCCTCGGCAGAGTGGCAGTAGTGCAGACGCGCGTCAAGGCTGGCATGGTGGTGTCTCGCTCCAACAATGTGCTCGGTCGCGACGAGTTCGACGATGCTTCCAGTTCTGGGACGGCGGCTCGTTTGACGGGTCTCTCCTCGGTGCCAGTCACCTCTACGGCTAACGAACGCATCCTCCGTTCACGCGTGTAATATCGTGACGTGTCGTGCGGTGTGTGTGTCATTAGGCCGCGGCGAATCGCGAGTCATTTAGCATCGGATCGTTGTCCGGCCGATTGCAAAATTACCCGCGACGGGAACAGGTGGCCGGTTCACTGGGAAAATCGCTGGAACCTAACCGACGCGCGCCCCTCTCGCATCGTTCCTCTCCCGGTTCGTCATTGGATGGAACAAAGACACCTGGACGAGCCACGCGCGCTAAGCATATTTTCCGCTGACGACCCGTTAACCCCTCGCCATTCTAACCCTTTGCACTCGGAAGTCTTTCGCTGGAAATATTCATCTTCCATTGATTTATAGATGACATTCTTTGAAACGAACCGAACTAGAAAAGACATGCGTTAAGAAACAAAATTATTGTTTCAATATTTTACGTGCTTATAGATCACGCGAGGCTTAACACGTTGAGTGCCACACGATTTTGCTGAGAAGAATATACAAAATGAAAATAATGTGACATCAACTTCTGTAATTGAATTATGTTATTATTATCGCAGATTTCTCTTGTCGAATGTCACTGCATTAGGTGGTATTACTTGTAATATAGAAAAGTTTTCAAATAATCATTGTTTAATCGAATGAAGTATAGTAATTCGATTTGGTTGAGGTCACCGGTGACTCCCACGGCATCCAACGTATTAATATTTTATGGAAGACTTTAGAATTTTGGTATATCGAATTAAATGGCGACTGAGAGTCGCCTCTCGAGTGCAAACGGCTAATAACGTGTTAGACGCTTGGTGCAGATTTTAAACGGAATTTGGGGAACGTAAATGTTACTTAATTTTGTTGAATTCTGATTAACAGTGGATCCACCGCTGTTAATCGGCGTTTCGATGTCGAATGGTTAACACTTTCGCCACGATGGAGATATCTCGTCCATTATAGCGGAAGGGTTAAACTCTTGAAACGAATTCAATGATTTGGCAAAGTCTTCTGCGAAGAATCTTGTTTTCATCTGTTTTACGCAGATATTTACATTAATTTTGTTTATTAGTCATTTTATATGAAGTGATACGTTTCAAAACAATTTAATGTACGTAATGCGATGAGACTATCGATGTGTATGTAAGATGTCATTGGCAATTTTAAAACAAGAACAGCTCGACGTGCGTGGCACGCCTTCCCAGTGCATAAAGTCAACGACCAGTGACTTATTAAAATTACGCTGATTTGAAGCAAGAAATCAGAACGACGTTACGAGATTCCTTTGTACTTTGATTTGAAATTCACAAAACTTTGCGAGCGAAAACGTGTATTCCTACGCGGTGATGAAAACTGTATTGGTAATTAGCGAGTGGTTGGCTTGATTAGATGCGTTAGATGAAGTGTTAAGAATTTTGAGTAAATTGTTAATGACACAGTCATAGAAATCGATCATAGAAATCATTCGTGGAGCAAGGTTAATCAAACTGTGTTCGACAAGTAGAAATTGATTTAGGAATGAATTCGATTTTCCAGTCAGTCGACTACAAGTTCATGTAAAATTTGAATATCGTACTACTTTTTTCTGATAAACATGTTTCGGGATCACGAGTAATTATAACAAACGAATGAGACAATTTATCGATAGCGATCTTTTCCTTCGTCCCTGCTGACTCATCCCGGATTTCGTAACTCTGTCTATGAGAAATGCAACATTGCATCAACATCCGCAACCTATTTACATATAATTGTGCAATCGGACGCGTGCCATGAATAATATTCGCGAAAATGATTTCTATCATTGTTTTCCTATCCAAGATAGCCAAACATAAATTAACATTCAATCTCGTTGCCAGATGTAATAACTCGTCGAAGCATTACACACAAACCAAAATAAGAATATCTACTGTAATAACCTTTTCCTGTTCCCCTTTCAAAGGTATCCTTGACAAAACGAACATATTCCACAAATTAAATAGAAAAAGTCTACACGAACACAACAGTGTTAAAAAAAATAAAAATATTGGTTCGAAAAAGATCCAATACATCAGAATACATCGAGATATTCTTATTCCAAAATTGCCAACGTCTCCTACACATCGATAGTTCTGTTGCATTACAAATCCTACATTATTTTAAAATGTATCACTCCATACAAAATTCACGCGTTCGCTACCAGCGTCACATATTTGTGACGGACGTAATCCTATATTTTACGTATTTTTACTTTTTCTTTAAATTATTAGAAATTATAAACTATGACATTACATTTAAGAACTGACTGACTCGTTTCAATTTCGTTTTTATAATATTTTGTTTAGATTTATTGGATTGAAGGAAATATTATAATTGAGAATACCGTCACTGAAATAAGTACTGGCAGCGAATGTGTTAACCCTTTATCCTACAACAACGAGTTAGACTCGTGGCGAAGATTTTCAACATGATTCGACAAATATATGTATTACTCAGTTCATTCGAATTCAAAGTGAATATTATTCCCCTGTAATCAACTATTATACTTAAAAGGAAATATAGGCATAACATATGCTTAGAATTATTCTCTTTTTCCAATAAATTATTAATGAGAAAGCAGCCGTATCGTCCAGAGTTGAGAAATATATCAGAGGCCAAGGAGTTAACCCTTTGCACTCGAAAGGTGACTCCCAGTCATCACTTGATTTGATACAGCAAAACTATGAAGTTGAATATTTACTATTTTAAATTAAACTTTGTATTGCAATGTGAAATATTTAAATAAAATAGCTTTGTTGCCTAATTTATCTGTGAATTATCGTTAAATTAGTTTCAAACAATGTCGTATTTATCTCATCAGACGATGTTCAAATATTTCTACTGAAAAACTGCCGAGTGCAAAGGATCAATAAACAAAACTAGCGTGCGTAACTTTGAAGTACATAGAAACAAAATTCGTCGCGCGATACTTTGCCGAATCTCTGAATGAGTTTCCAGCGCAAGAGGTTAAATGCGGACGTCCAAATGTTACTGACGTCAGGAGCATCGTGCATCACGAGGAAAAAACGCGGTGGGCCAACAACTTCTGTCGCGAAGTCAGCGGCACCGTTTACTCGATGATCAAGCATAATTCGGCCCGTTGAATGGAACGGAGAAAAAACCGTACGCCCGAAGGAGAGGACGAGCCTATTTATTTTCGGCCAACGAACGACCTCGGGCCACGCGAAAAATTGGATCGTCGTCGTCGAGGTCGCGGCTACCAGCGAACCGTGAATCTCCGGATCGAAACAATGGCCGGCCCGCGAAATATTCCCGGCGTGACGGTGCTAACGAATTTCTACCTGTGCACACTGGGGAACAATGGTCAGTCACGTGGACCGTGTTCATTGATTATTCATCGCTCTAGTATTCGACGTTAACCGCGATCAACGATTTCTGACACGTCCGACACTGTACACGTACGTAGGTACTTGCTCACGGCGAGATACTTTACAGTGGACACCATTTTCATTGAAATTCTGCTGCGAACCGATCGCGCTTGCAGCTTTCGCGAAGTTTCAGTTACGATCTCGGTTTATGGTATCGCTGCTACGTCTGTTTACGGTGGAACAGAAATAGTCTGATTTAGTGAATAACGTGGATGTTCGCGGAATGAAGAACAATAGAATTCAGAATGTATGGAAATGGTTAAGTATTAATTTCTGATGGTTCGCGTATTCGTTGTTTAGGATAATTTTGAATATCGAAATGTATATCTAACGTGAACAATAGAGGAATAATTTTCATAGATCGTTGGAAAGTAAGTTTTCATATGAAAGGTTTGATAACTGTTAGAGAAAGAGAATTTTGCGAATCAAATCGGCTGGTTCTCGAGAATTTTTGTAAAGATCGGTATTAAGGAGGTAACCCTTTCATCGTTAGAAACTTCTCTAATCCGAAAATTGTCTTAAGCATGTTTTCAAATTCAAGAGATCAATTCATACAATCGAACGAATGAAATTTCAGAAATCATCGATCTATAAAACAGCGATCACTTTATGCTGGAGCTCAAATTTCTCTCATTTCACTTTATCAGAAGTAATTTCAAATTTATACAGTTCAAAAATCAATGCAATCGATCCAAAGGACAAGCACGCTCCCGCGTGATCATGAATAACACGTCCACGATCCACGTGCGCCACGTCCGGTCAAAGCAACGTCCCGCGGCCAGACGACGCACATATCCTGCGTTGCTGGTGAATTGGCACTTGCAGCGAACACGAATCTACTTAATCATAGTGGAAGAAGATCCATCTCTCAGATTCATTTTTGAAAGTAACGCGCTATTTATCAATACAATCACAATAACGAACACTTTGCAGGCGGGAAACTATAATCACAGAACAAACATCAAAACCGAGGACTTTGTTTGAATAAAATAAATCTAAACATAATAATCCTACTCACGAAATTAACCTCCGCACTCGAAATACAACTCTCATTCACAGTTTAATATAACCAAAATTCTACATCGAATTCAATACTCAATATTCCATATCAACAAATGGAACATTTAACTAAAATAGTTCTACTCCTGAATTCGTACAAAACGTTTCTCCATATTACTCACGAAAATTACCATTGACTCGAAAGACGACCATTTACAGTAAACGTATATATCCGAGTGCAAAGTGTTCCGTCGAATCTATAACATCCGCAGATCATTAACTTCGTCCTCATGCGCAACAACCAGATTGTCAAACACGGAAGAGGCCGCCCGCCAGCAAAGCGACGATCAATACCGCAAACGAAACGCACGGCGACAGCGGTTCGCTGCCTGCTGTCATCGTCCCGAGTGCCAACTCTCCAACAACGCAGTCCAGCCGAGTCCACGTGGTCGATACGGTATTCGGTCTCGGGACTTACTCATCGACGACGGTCTCTTGACAGACTTCCCGGCGAGCAACAGCCCCGACGATGCTTTACCACGATGGTTCACCGCTGACTGCGCCGTGTTCGGCGCAGCCAGGGATATCTTTGCGCTCATCCTCGCGATGGCGGCGGCGGCGGCGGCGGCGGCGGCGGCTGATGGTGGTGCTGCTGCTGCTGCGGCTGCGGCTGCTGCCGATTCCTGAGATCCTGACTCACGTACCGGGAAGTCGGGCTCGGAGGTCGCGCTGGCATACCTCCTCGTTAAATCACGCCAGACCTTCTCTGTCCGCACTATTGTCCGATGCTACCGCTCGATACTGGCCTCCTCCGTCTGCGCGCGTGTCTTCGGCCCCGCTCGGTCTTTGGTCTCGAGTCTGCTGATTGAGGATCTGCAAAAGGTTATCCGTGAGCACTCGCGCCACCAGTCGTTTTACCGCCATTTTAGGCGGCGCGGAGACTTCGACGCCCGCACGGCGCGGTCCTCTATGAGTCTATGCGCATGCGTTTCCGCTGCGATTGTTTAGGAGTAACAGAAGAACGAAGTTTCTAACTTAACCGTTTGAATGCCAAAGGTTAGCGCTTCTTTTATTTCATGTCGAGAGAAACCAAGCTGCGCGACAGCGCTTGTCTTAATCTATGTTAACACGTCGACTGCCACGAAGAACTTCAACGTTTTGTGTATCACTTATTCGTTTGTAGCAAAAATAATAAGGAATAATTATCAATTACTTGGTACACAATTATTAGATTACACTATGATCCAGTTATTTGATGTTATTAAACATTTTCATTCGACGCCAGTTACCTTACGAATTATAATTGTTTTCGAGTAATCTGAAAGCTCCGATCATCGGTGACCACCGTGGCAGTCAACGTGTTAACGCTATTATATACATATATTAATTTATAATACGTAACAACGGAATACAAAATGTATTACTTGAATTACTTATATACAAAAAAAGTAGCGATGCGATCTACATGCGCCTGAAAAGTTGAGCGCGTTTCGTCACATTGTGAGCGCGCCGTTAATTGTCCGCATCGTTCAAATGCGCTGGGTTTTTTCGACATGAAATCTGAAGAGCGCGAAAGCGGCGCGTGGGACTCAAACGGTTAAGAAAAAGAGGAGCTAAACCAGGCTTGAATGCGGCACGACAAAAGTCATCGGCTTACGAACTTTATTAGATTGAGACCGAAGGTCGCGGTATAGAAACTTGCAGCGATACGATCGCAGCTGACGATGGGTTTAATACGTTCGCTACCAGCGTCACATATTTGTCACGGCAGTAATCCTATATTTTACAGAATGAAAATGAAATTAACTCTACAGATATTGTTATTAGAAATTATAAACTACTACATTATTAGGAACTCAATGAGTCGTTTCAGTTTCATCTTTCTAATATTTTGTTCGGAAGATTTATTGGGTTGAAGAAAATATAAATGAGGAGACAGTAAAATATAAATGAGTTTCGGTAAATAAAATGGAACGTTATTCATTACAATTACTACTGTCTGAAGTTTGTTGGAGATTTTAGTGAGAGTTTGCCCAATAAATTACTGTGAAAGTTAATTTTTAAGTTGTGAGTTGTATGAATTTGATTGATATGGCGGTCAACGCGTTGAAGGTCAAGAGTTAATGGTAGATTGATATCCGTTTTCGCTGTTAAATGTTAATAAGAAGGAAATATCGATTTGGTTAAGAACATATGAGTATCAATATTTATTACACACAATGCGGACACTTCAACGCGTGTTTGCATCGGTATTCTTGTTAAAAAAATTACGGTTGAAAATCTGCTCGAGCCGAGACGTCCCGTTAACAGTGACGCATGTGAGGCAGGTCAGTGTGGGTACAGCGACGCACCACGCGAGAGACGGAGAGACGGGGATTTGACTCATGCGTCACTATTGGCTAATTATAATCGTTAGTAACTTGAAAACGAGGCCGAGACCGCAAATCCGTAGCTGTTCGTTTTCGTCTTATTTTCGCTCGTACAATCATCCCTTAGTATGTTAATACGTTAGCACGTTTGCAACCAATACAATGTAACGGTCCCCTTGGCGGCTTTAACATACCAATGTGTTATTATTGGACGAAACTTTGCATCTGCACGACACGTGCATACGCCAATAATATAGACAGTAAATTCTGCGTGACGCTGAAAGACGTCATCGGCACTGAATGTGTTAAAATAAACCATTCACAGTCGAAGAAACTATAACTTTGCAATCGCATTAAGAGAAAGGGAACTACCACGTCCTTATTAACGTTACAAACATTATCATTCAAATTTATGAGAAATAACATTGTATATGAGAACCCAATGACTCGTTTCACTAGAATAATTGCAACCGATATCATCATCGGAATGGATGCTGGTAACGTATGAAACTCATGAAAACATTAACCTCTTCAGGGTCGAGTTTTTTTTAGAACAAAAGTGATCTTAGTCTCGTTTGAATGCAATTTATTTACTTTATATTGATACGAACTGAACGATACGAAGACAACGATGGAAGTTATACGAAAATAAAGCAAGTGTCCGTCCGAATTTGACGTTAACACGTTGGCTGCCACGAGAATTTTGAGCGTTTTGTTACAGTAATCATTATTCCTTCGTATTAAAGGCAAATGGTATTAGAAGTAATTAGTAATAATTTGATATTAGTACTCATACTACGCTATTATTTAACTGTATATGTTGCTAAAGATTTTTAGTCGATGTCAATCTTCTTATTGTAATTTTTTTCAAGCAATTTCGAAGCTCCGGTCATCGGTGACCTCCGTGGCAATCAACGTGTTAAATTAAAATCAAATGTACACGTGCCAGGGTCCTTGAAGAGGTTAAAGGAAATGTGAAATAGATCATTTCGAGCTGTTCAGTGATTCTAGAATTAAATCCCGGAAAAATCGTGCAGGTGAGATATCGCGTGTACCAGGAGGTCGAGACCGGACGTCCTCGAGGCATGGCCGCTGTCCTTCTTCGAAGCTCAGCCGGTGTGTTCGGTCATCGTACGGCCTCCGCGCGGCAGATGCTTCCCATGCTCGAGCGAAATCACGGTGAGGCGATCTGAAAACGAAAACAAATCCTTGTTACTTCAGCGGGAACGGTGTCGACGGCTGGGGATCACGATCACGTGGCTCTTGACCACCATCTTCCGTTGAACTTCTTCGAATCGTGATCGCGCTGATGTTCGGCCGGATCGCGAGAGCGTCCGCGTCTCCCGGCGAAACTGAGTCACCGTTGGGCAACAGTGTATTCAAAATAACGAATGACGAATGGCAAATAAATTCAGTCCCATTGTTATCCGCGGGTAACGAATGATTAATATAGTCATCGTTCGTAGGTAACAAATAAATTTATTCCGTATTTCGAGTGACTCCAGACGCTGCATGTGGTAATATAAGAAATGATAATGATATTACTTTGATGTTGATCGAATTTCTGAATTGAAGAAATGAGTAGTAGATAACGAATAATCGAAGAACGGTTAATTTTACTTAATTGTTAACTCTACCTTCGTTTACAGAATTATTGATTTTCATTTTTCAACTTTGTTCTAATTTACTTCACTCTTAAGTTCAATTTTACTATTAAGTTTGTTATTCGCTCGAATATCTATTTTACATTCACGATTAATTTCGTTCGCATTTCAATCGAGTTACTGTTATTCCAATAAAGTTTTATTCGAATAATGTCCAACGTTCAAGTGAATCATCGCACCGGGAAGTCGGGTAACGGAGGTCGCGCGAACGCCGGTCGACTTTAAATCACAACCGGTCCTCTTCTATTAAGGACCTCTCTCGGCAGGTCCTTGCTCGGAGGATCACCATATTCGACGGATTTAATCGTGGACCAGCGATTCCCTCGCTCTTGCTCACTCCAAGAGCGTGATCAATGGGGGACCGAGACTTCCGTCAGTTTCAAGAACGTTCGCGCCGTTTCCTGTTTTGCTTCTTGTGTATCTTGATTTTCGACAAATTGTCAACCTTCAGCGAGATTCTTTTGCGAGACAACAAGCGAGCGGAATCTGATTTGGACAACGATTGAGAGATAAGAGCAAACGGGATTTTTATTCAGCGTTGACGAATCCGATGATTAATGAGTTTTTCCGTGGGATTATATCGATTAATTATTGATACATATCATTTGATAGATATTGATAGATAGTAATAAGTATTAATATCTGTTAATAAATATTGATAGATATTAAAGAATATTAATATATATTAATAAATATTACATAAATAGAAAATATTAATTATTCCAATTTCAAAGAGAAACATTAATGTTCGATGTGTAAATAGAGAATAATTATATAAGTTACGCGAACAATGTTATAGCTGTTCCATGTTTTTTGCGTTGATATCGTAATTTCTCGCCTCGTTTCTTTATCAGCTGAATAGCTCATTGTTTGCCGGTGAATTATTCTACTTTTTGTTAAAGGGTTTATTAGAATTTGCGTTGGGTGTTCGTAATATCGAATAATGGATTTGCTAACGTATCTATTACTCGATATTTTTGCTTGTCAGTGACTGCAGATACTGACAGTGATACGGCGCGATTTATCCTCGGCAATAACTTGTCGCACGCCGATTATTAGAAAGTGAGATCGACGAAAAACAGATAACGCCATAACACTTCAACGTTCGGGATAAGTGGAAACGGTGACTGATGAACGAACACGTTGGACCGTCCGTAATGCCACGCGGTCGTCACAAATTTTCCGTATTTATTTCCTGCATACTTTAACCCTTTACTTAAAACATTCAAAGCAAGCCTCGAAACCATAATTTCAATTTCAAAGCTAAAGGTTAAGTAATTTCCTTCTTTATTCTAGTTATCCCATGGAAACAAGATTATCATTTAACCCTTCCCACTCGGAAGTTTCTCACTAGAAGTACTTTAACATTTTCTGATCAGATAGAGACAATATTTCGTGAAACTAACTCGAAGAGAAATCGTACGTACATTCAGGAACAAAGCTATTTCATTTCAATACTTCTCAAATTGATGTTGTACAAGGTATAATATTAAATACCAAATTTTGTAGATTTACTATTGAAATCAAGTGGTGAGCGAGAGTCACCTTTCGACTGCAAACGGTTAACAGTTCAATTAACTCTTTGCGCTCGGAAGTTTTTCGCTGGAAATATTTTAACATTTTCTAACAAATTAAAGACGATATTTCGTGAAACTAACTTGAAGAGAAATGATACGTACATTCAGGAACAAAGCTATTTTATTTCAATACTTCTCAAATTGATGTACAAGGTGTATTAAATATCAAATTTTGCAGTTTCACTATATGAAATCAGCTGACGAGCGAGAGTCACCACTCGAGTGTAAAGGGTTAAAAGCTCAAACCGTTTACAATGCAAAGTGTCCCAAACGAAGTTTCCGAAGTGTCGACGTTCGTCCTCGAAAGGTTAATTTTCCCATTCTTTTCCGACGACGTCGAGAAAATAAGTGAGCACTCAATCTTCCGAGTTCCTCTCTGGCCGTGAGAGTGCACCGGGTCAGGAATAATTCGCAACGGAATAACACCGAGGACAGCCGCGAGCGCGTTGACTCCTTCGCCTCGCGGCCCGGGCGTCGAAGGACCTTGAAGAGGGAACAGGAACTTCCCGGGCTCAGCGCCAAGGCAAGCCGGAGTCGTACGTCTCTTTGTCCTAACTTTCTGGTGCATTAACAGCGGTCGCTTGTAAACCTATCCCGATTGTTGTTCGACAACTGAGTCACTCGAGATCCGGTTAATCTTCGAGACCGAACTCGAAATACGCTCTTCGCTGAGCTCGAGCGAAGTTTAGAACGAGGACGAACGGGACCAACGCGTCACACACCTCTCCGAGTATCTGATGGATTCTATCGGTTGGACAGTTCACTGAATCTCGATCGAAATTGCATTTTCCGAGGAACGACGCTGAACACTAAACGTACCGCGATCGAACGACCGGTTTTCAACTTTGACTAAAAATTGTGCATTCCCTTTCGTCTATTTAACTTTACATCAATTCTTATGTATACTGTTCGGTTAATCAGTTCTTCAATTGTTTTTTCTTTTGTTCCCGTTTCCACTAGGTAGAATTCATCGTTTCATTGGATTGACTTTATTTTATGATCAGTTGTTCGACCGGTTACAATAGGTGTATATAAACGTTTAGTGTTGAATATTGAACAATCAAATATTTAAAATCAAAGTAAAAGTGAAATTTGAGAGAAAGATAATTGTAATAGGAGCCGAACCGAAAGTGACAATTAATTATTAAATAAAACTTTGAAATCGAAGATTTCTTTGAAGGTTGATAGGATAAAGACATTTTTGTTTGTTTCGGATTTGTATATGTTAATATGTATTGCTTAGTTTAATTATATTATTTATATTTGAATGGGCGATTTAACGAAGAAACCTTTGGTAGCCATTATTTCCGAAATCAAGTGAGAATTTCGAAAGACCCGCGCCACGAGGGTAACCAAAGTGTTAGCGCGTTTCGAGATAACACGATTCTCTACTTCTCCGACACGTCAAGCTTGCGCTATGCCGAATAAATTCCAATATGCTGCCCCGACTAGACCGTGCTATACCGCAGAGGTTCTGTTCCTCGCTGTGAACTTTGCTTAAGGTCAGGTTGATTCATTGGAAGGTCAGAGGTCGAACCCGTAGCCGTGAACTTCCTCATCGAGCAAAACTAACTTTTCGAAGAAGACTCGGCAACCGATCGTTCAACTGTCGAATCGAAATAATCCGGAGCCGATAATAGAATAATGTTCCCCGCCACTTCGAAAATCCTTATTTAGAATCCTTTCACTTTATCGCGTCGACTCGGAAGATTCATTCATCGTTAGGTTATACGCGGCAAATTGAACTAGAAATCGGTTAAATCGTATCGCACAAATGTCTACGGTTTTAATGTTGTCAAAACTGTTTCGATTACGAAAAAATGAATGAAAATTCAACGAAATTGAATGACTAATTGTCGATTGTGAAGAGAATTAACGGTAGAATAATCACACAATCGCGCATCCTAATTATTTCTGTACAAACCTCTAATATCTAGGATCTAAAACGATCATCAATTTTTCTTTAAATCTTCACCTTCCGTAATTTTCAAGACTTTACCATTGAAGCGCCTCATTGGCTCTTAACACTATATTTAATATAAATCTCGCTATGACTGAGTTCGTTACCACGAAATAATAAAAACTCATGGAACAATTGCAATAATAATAAAAGTTACTTCAAGAATACACCATTTTATGTATTTTACTATCTTATGTATTCTTAACGGTTTATATTTAATATAAATCTCACAACGACTAGGTTCGTTACCACGAAATAATAAAAACTCATGGAACAATTGCAATAATAATAAAAGTTACGTCAACATACTATTTTATGTATTTTACGTATTAGATTGAAGATATACGAATTCTATATGAATCTGTAACTGTTGCATCGGTTTTCTTCGGTTTTACCCAATGAGTGGCTCCAATGTCCCTGAACCCAGTGCTAAGAAAAATATCCTTTATCTATCGGACGTACACCATTCCCGTAATTACACCGAACCTCCGACTGTCTCTCAACGAACGCTATCGTACCCTAAATCGTGACCAGTCACGAACGCGATATCACGGAAGGAACCGTGCGGAATGAATCGAACGTGGACAGGGACCGGGCACGGAAAAGTGGTCCGAGCTAGCTAGGCAACGAGGAACGCGAGAAAGAACGTAGAAATGCCTCGCCGAGAGTTCTACGTCCCCCACCATGGCCACGCGATCGCGCATTCGCGATAGACAGAGAGAAAGAGGGAAAGAGAGAGAGAGAGGGAGAGAGAAAGACGGATCGAGTAGTATGCCGCGTATTTAAATAGAATTCAAGCCTCAAGGAGAAAACGCAAGGCTGCGGCAAGGACTCCGGCTGTTTTATGCCTCCGCGTCGGATCACTGCCACTACCGGCCCACCGGGACGGGGTTTAACGGGCGGCTGTCTAAACGCTTGCGCCCGAGAGCCGAGAAAGTGACTCGCGCCTAATTAACCACTTGCCCTGCGATTTCTTTTACTACTCGCC